ACATCTATTAATAATTGGAATGTAGAATGTATGAACTATGAATGTAGGAAAATTGGAAGTTATCAAAAATGAAATGGAATGCTTAAAGGGCAATATCCTAGGCATTAGTGAACCAAAATAGACTGGTTTGGGCCATTTTGAATCAGTCATATGATCTACTGTGCCAGGAATGACAGAGAAGAATGGCATGGCATTTATTGTCACAAAGAATGTTTCAAAATCTATCTTGAAGTATAATACTGTCAGTGATAGGATAATATCCATACACCTACAAGGAAGACCAGTTAATACTACTACTATTCAAATTTATGCACCAACCACTAAAGCCAAAGATGGGAAATTGAAGATTTTTACCAACTTCTGCAGTATGAAATTGACCAAACATGCAATTGAGATGTATTAATTATTACAGGTGATTGGAATGTGAAAGTTGGAAACAAAGAGGAATCACCAGGAGCTGGAAAATGGTAGCCTTGCTGATAGAAATGATGCTGGAGATCACATGATAGAATTTTGCAAGACCAATGACTTATTCATTGCAAATACCTTTTTTCAACATATAAATGGTGGCTACACACATAAACCTTGCCAAATGGGATATGTGGGAATGAAATCGACTACATCAGTGGAAAGAGGTGATGGAAAAACTCAGTATCTTCAGCCAAAACAAGCCAGGAACTGACTGTGGTACTGACCTTCAATTGCTCATATGCAAGTTCAAGTTGAAGCTGAAGACTATTAAAACAAGTCCATGAGAGCCAAAATATGACCTTGATTATATCCCATGAGATAAAAGAGCTAAACAGAAGATTTCAAAGAGCAGCTCAGGAAGAGAAAGTCGGTTATTACAATGAAATGTGTAGAGACCTGGAGTTAGAAAACCAAAAGGGAAGAACACACTCAGCGTTTCTCAAGCTGAAAGAACTGAAGAAAAAAATTCAAGGCTCAAGTTGCAATATTGAGGGATTCTATGGGCAAAATATTGAATGATTGAGACTCATAGCAATCCCCCCCCTTTGGGTTTCTGAGGCGGTAAATCTTTACGGAAGTAGATTGCCCAGTCTTCCTTCCATGGAGTGGCTGGTGGGTTTAAACCATCAACCTTCTGGTTAGCAGTCAAATGCCTTAGGCACTATGCCACCAGAATAGCTCCTTGAATGATGCAGGAAGCATCAAAAGAAGATGGAAGGAATACTAAGAGTTGCTGTACAAAAAAGAATTGATTGATGTTCAACTATTTCAGGAGGTGGCATATGATCAAGAACCAATGGTATTGAAGGAAAAAGTCAAAGCTGCACTGAAGGAATTGGCAAAAAACAAGGCTCCAGGAATTGATGGAATACCCATTGAGATTTTTCAACAAATAGATGCCATGCTGGAGGCGCTTACTATGTCAAGAAATTTGGAAGACAGCTACCTGGCTAACTAACTGGAAGAGATCCATATTTGTACCCATTCCAAAGAAAGATGATCCCACAAAATGTGGAAATTATCAAACAATATCATGAATACCACACACAAGTAAAATTTTGCTGAACATAATTCAAAAACAGTTGCAGTAGTATATTAACAGGGAACTTGCAGAAATGCAAGCTGGATTCAAAAGTGGATGTGGAACAAGGGATATCATTACTGGTGCCAGATGAATCTTGGCTGAAAGCAAATACCAGAAAGATGTTTATTTGTGTTTTATTGACTATGCAAAAACATTGGACTGTGTGGGTCATAAAAATTATGGATTACATTGACAAGAATGGGAATTCCAGAACAGTTCCTTGTGCTCATGAGAAACCTATATGTAGACTAGGAGGCTGTCATTCGAAAAGAACAAGGGGATACTGCATGGTTTAAAATCAGGAAGGGTGTGTGTCAGGGTTGTATCCTTTCACCATACTTGCTTAATCTGTATGCTGAGCAAATAATCTGAGGAACTGGACTACATGAAGCAGAATGCGGCATCAGGATTGTAGGAGGACTCATTAACAGCCTGCAATATGCAGATGACACAAGTTTGCTTTCTGAAAGTGAAGATGACTTCAAGCAATGATGATTCACCACTACAGTCTACAATATGGATTACATCTCAACATATAACAAAAATCCTCACAATTGGACCAGTAAACAGCATCATGATAAATGGAGAAAAGATTGAAGTTGTCAGGGATTTCATTTTACTTGGATCAACAATCAACACCCATGGAAGCAGCAATCAAGTAATCAGATGTCATATTGCACTGGGCAAATCTGCTGCAAAAACCTCTTTAAAAGTGTTAAGGAGCAAAGATGTCACTTTGAAAACTAAGGTGCATCTAACCCAAGCCATGGTATTTTCAGTAGCCTTCCTGGAGAAGATTATCATGCTTGGTAAAATGGAGGATCAGTGAAAAAGGGGAAGGTCCTCAACAAGATGGATTGAGACACAGTGGCTGTAACGGTGGGCTCAGCTATAGCAAGAACTGTGAGGCTGGTGCAGGACCAGGCAGTGTTTCATTCTGTTGTACATAGGGTCACTGTGAGTTGGAGCCAACTCAACAGCACCTAACAACAACATATGCATGTAAGAGGTCAACTATGAATAAGGAAGACCAAAGAAAAATTGATGCATTTGAGTTGTGGTGTTGGTGAAAAATACTGGAAATACCATGCACTGCCAAAAGAATGAACAAATCTGTTTTGGAAGAAATACAGCCAGAGTGCTCCTTAAAAGCAAAAATGTCCAGACTTTGTCTCACATACCTTAATAATCATGTCAGAAGGGACCAGTCCCTGGAGAAGGATATCATGCTTGGTAAAGCAGTTGTTGTTGTTGTTATGTGCCGTCAAGTTGGACCCGACTCATAGCGACCCCTCCTTGGGTTTCCGAAGCAGTATCACTACAGAAGTAGATTGCCCCATCTTCCTTCCGAGGAGTGGCTGGTGGTTTTGAACCGCCAGCCTTCTGGTTAGCAGTCAAGTGCCTTAGTCACTACGCTACCAGAGCTCCCTGGTAAAGCAGAGGGTCATCAAAAAAGGGGAAGACCCTCAATGAGATGGATTGACACAGTGACTGCAAAGATGAGATCAAGTGCAAGGATTCTGAGGATGGCACACGACTGGGCAGAATTTCATTCTGTTGTACATAGGGCCACGATGAGTCAGAGCTGAGTCAATGGCACCTAACAACAATAAGAGAACGAGGGGAAAATTAATGCCAAGATATATGGAGATCTCCAAGAAATGCTGGACCCACAAATGTTGAAAGGAGACAAGGGACTTCCTCCAGAGCTGACAGAGAAAGCCTTCTCCTGGAGCTGGCTCTCTGAATTTGGATTTCTAAACTGTTTATTACAACTGTGAGAGTAAATTTCTGTTTGTCAAAGCCACCCACTTGCAGTGTTTCTGTTATAGTAGTGCTAGATAACTATAACAGCCCCTATACCAGGATGACTAACCACATGAGGTCATTAGTCAATGTCTAATTAGTATCAGCATCTGTAGCCCCCACCTTTTTTGTTGTTATTGTTGCAAAACCATACACAGCCTAGCATTTGCTCATTCATCCCCTTTCCCTATGTACAGCTTATTGACACCAGTTATATTAGTCTTGCTGTGCAGATTTCACCCATATTTGGTGCCACCTTTCCCATTTCTAGAAACAAAAGTGACCACTACCTAGGGAGTACTTCTTCTTTACCCCATCCCCACCACTGGTAACCACTAATGAACGTTAGTTTCTGTATATTTACCTATTCACATAATTTCATAGAAGTGAGAATATACAATATTTGTGTTTTGTGATTGGCTTACTTCACTCAATATAATGTCCTCCAGATTCATCCACATTGTGAGATGTTTGGGGAGTTCATTTTTCTTTATCACTCGCTAGTATTCCTTTGTATATATGTGCAACATTTTACTTATCCCTTCACCTATTGATGGGCACTTAGGTGGTTTCCATCATTTTGCTATTGTGAATAGAGCTGCAATGAACATAGGTATGCATATGTCTGTTCATGTCACTTCTATCAGATCCCTGACATATATACGTAGGAGTAGAATTGCTGTCTCATATAGCAGTTCTACCTCTATTTTTTTGAGGAACCTCCAGGCTCTTTTCCACAATGGCTGTACCATTTTGCATTCCCACCAGCAATAGAGAAGTGTTCTGATTTCTCCACATCTCCCCCAACACTTGTTATTTTCAGTTTTTCTTTCCTTCTTTCTTTGACCTTAGCTATCTTCATGGGAATGAAATGGTATCTCATGATTTTGATTTCCACTTCTCTGATGATTACACTGAGCATCTTTTCATGTGTCTTTTGACCATTGAATATCCTTTTTGATAAAGTGTCTGTTCATATCATTTTCCCAGTTTTTGATTGGATTATTTGTCTTTTTGTTGTTAAGTCCATAGAGTTTTTAATGACTAATTTTTCAGAAAAAGCTTGAGTGAACTTGAATCTCCAACCTTTTGGTTATCAACCAAGTAGGTTAACTGCATCATCCAGGAACTCCTTCACACACCTTAGCCTGGCATAAAGGCTCTCAAAGGCCAGCCCTGTTGACTTTCTCTACCTGATCATCAGTCCTTTCTCACCTCCGCCCTTCGCTCCAGACCTGTGGCTGTCTCTGATCACTCCCAAGCATAGCAGTCTGTAATCTACTACCAGTGTCCACCTCCATCACAGCCTGTGTCAACTGCACTGTGATAGCTGGGAAGGCTGAGATCTCTGAGGGCATGGCACAAAAGGGACAAGTGAATGTGAAGGAAAAACAGCAAATGAATGGTATTTGAGCTGGAAATTAGCCTTCCAAGTGTTCTTATTAAACATGTTTCTGGAAAACAGTGGCCTTCTGGTTGATTACTAAAGGATCTGTGACACTCAGAGCTTCCGAAAGCTGGCTGCAGCTTCCTTCCTGTTCCCCTCAGAAGGCCTGGGTCACAGCCTCCTGGACCTACAGAGTAAGAGATTCACTGTCCCTTCTCTCCCATAGGTGGCCAAATTCCACTGTGAAACCAGATGGACTCCATTGGGCCTGTAGGACTAGGGAGCAGGGATGGACCCCAGGGCTGCCCCCCAGAGGGCTTGCCCCACCCATCAGATAGCTCCAAGGTGGTAAGTTCAGTACTGGGAGCCTGTCTCATGCTCATTCCAGGCAAGCACAGGATTGACCAAAGATGCTGTGTACCCTGGGTTCATTCCCATATCCCTTGTAACCCTTTACAATTTACTAAGCCTTTCATATCTGGTCATGATCTGTCTCCTTTGAAACTCCAGACAACTGCAAGGTGGGTATTACCTCCTCCTCTTACAGATGGGAAGAGGAGGCTTAGAGAGATCAAGTGACAGGTGAATTAAAGGCATGACGGGCTTGAGCTGAGGTGCTTCAGCTCCAAATGTGCTACTTTCACAAACTTGACACCTAAGTCCCCTTGAAGGGGTTGACACAATCTGAAAGGACTCTCTATCACTGCTTGTGTGTTATCCAGAATGTTCTGGGTAAAAGCTATGTCTTGAGCCCTACTCTTCCCTACTTCTCATATTGTTGCTGCTCCTATTTCCCTCTCCTCCTCTTGACCACCCCCATCAGGGACCCACAACTCCTTCTAGATGATGCTAGTTCTGGGCCCGCTCTGCAGTTTTCATCCCTCACAGTTGCCACCGACCCAAGGTTAGCTTGAAAGTGACCTCTCTTTTCTGCTATCTTGACCAAGATCTAGAAGCCCTCGCATACCACACCCCTAAGCAGGAAGTACTTGTGTAAGTCATTTCACATTTCTCTGTTTCCTCATCAGTAAAATGGAGAAGATAAGTCTAATCCTCCCACCCTTGGGAGGATGAGATGAGCACACAGAGATGAAGGATCTGCACAGAGAAGGGGCCATTAAAGGGTTCTTTAGTTTTCTAGTTTGGGCTGATGTCCACTTGACCAGGTGTGTTGTCTCCCTTGTCCAACTTGTGCTGTGAGCACTTCCTGAGCTCCTACTCTGTGCCAGCCCCCAGCTGGGCCTGGGATTGGCATGACCTGCCCAGGCAGACTTGCTGCAGGTCTGCCATCATCTCCTGAGACCCTGCACTGGTCCTGCATATGCTCTGCTGGCTTTGTGGCATATGCCTGCAGTGTAAAGATCATTCATTTCCTTTGGTTTTGGGGGACTTCACAAAACCAAGTTTCCCTTGACTTTGGCCCTGGCTCCCTTCACTCAGCAATCTGAGTAGAAGGTTAGTTAACCATGTATGGTTGGGCCCAGCCCAGCCTCTCAGAGTCTTGTCCCAACTCCCAGGTCTCTTAACCACCAGAGCAGAACAGAATCAGGCTCTCCAGTCTGGCTGTGCCTTGTGCTCCAAGAGAAAAAACAAAAACAAAAACAAAAAAACAGTTACTGGCAAGTCGACTCCAACTCATGGCAACTCCATGTGTGTTAGAGTAGAACTTTGCTCCATAGGGTTTTCAATGGCTGATTTTTTGCAAGTAGACCATCAAGATGTTTTTCTGAGATGTCTCTTGGAGGACTCAAACCTCCAATCTTTTGGTTAGCAGCCCAGTGCTTAGCTGTTTGCACTACTGAAGGACTCCATGCTCTGAGGAAAGTGGGCCCCATTTCACTGGGCATCTCCTGTCCCAGTGCCTCACATGTACTGTCTTCTCTGTCCTCGCAGCATATCTGAGAAGTGAATCTATTATCGTTCCCAGTTGGTAGATGAGGAAATTTTCTCAAAGCAGGGAGGGGTGGGGCCAGCCTTCCCAGCCTCTTGATTAGAGGAGCCGGCGCTGAAGCCATATAGAGTTCTCATGCTCTTTGATGCCTTTTTCCCCTTTCTCCTGGTGAGGTCTCTCCCTACTCTTGGGTGGCCAGGGTGGGAGATGGCAAAGGAGGTGCTCCAGGAGATTTTCCTGGCTGGTGCCTGCCCTCTAGAGTCTGCCAGGGCAGTGTTCCTGGCTTCCCTGCTGCTTTCTCATCTCCCAGCTACTCCTTTCAAGCCTCTCTCTGCATTCAAGAGGACAAGGAAGAAAAATATCCATCTGCCCAAGACATTGACTTCTGCATAACTCTATTGATTGCTTTAAGCAATAATAAAACACCCCTCCCAACTGTACAGCACTTTACCCTTTCACATACATTATCTCATTTAATTACTCTGCCACCACAAGCATTCATCCAGCAAATCCTCCCTGCATGATCATCTCAAGCCAGCCACTTGGTGGACCCTGAGACATAACATGGAACAAGATTGGCCCCATCACTGGGGGACTTCTGTGTCTTATTATTTTCTAGTTTTGCAGAAGAGGTGACTGGGGCTCAGAGAGGGGTGTGACATGGAAGTGGCAGGGCAAGGACTCAAATGTAAGTTTCCTCTTCTCTGATCCTATGAGGTTTTTTGTCTGCATAGCTTGTCAGTCTTGAGACATTAGGGAGCTCTGGGGGTGTAGTGCCTAAGGCATTTGACTGCTAAACAGGAGCCTGGCGGTTCAAACCTACCAGCCACTCCTCAGAAGGAAGGTTGGGCAATCTACTTCTGTAGATTTCGGAAACCCAAGGAGGGGTCATTATGAGTCGGATCCTACTCCACGGCAGTGGGTTTTTTGTTATTGAGACATTAGGTGATTTTCAGGTGCCATTGCTAATTCTTATAATACTTCTTGTTTTTGCAGAAACATTTTTGCAGTCAGACAGATGTGGATTCAAAGCACACCCTGCCCCTTAATAGCTGCTTGGGCTAGGGGGATGATGGCCCATCTCTGAGCCTCAGTTTCCTCATTTGTTAATGTGGAAATCACCTCTCCTAGCATGCATGGCTGCTGGAAGCATCTAGTATAATTCAAGTGTGTAACTGAACATCTGGCACAACAGTTAAGATCATTTGCTTATTTTAGGGATCTACATCCTTTTCTCTTCACAAAGCAGGGAGTATGTCCTCCTTTCCCACCATGAGTAGCCTCCCCTTCCTGGCTCTCTCAGAAGCTGCCTCATTATCCACATACCTGAGCCAGTATTTCACAGCTGTGGAATCAGTTTGGGGTAGCAGGTTATTGGGATAGAATTGGGATCATTACAAGGGAATTGTGTGAAATAGGAAGTGGAATTTGAAGGGCTGGGGGCCTTAGAAAATCTAACCCCAGAGAGAAACAAGTCTCGGGGATGTGTTGCTGTTGTTTGTTGCTATCAAGTCAGCTCCAACTCATAGCAACCTTATATGTAATAGAACAAAGCATTGCCCAGCCCTGCACCATCTTCATGATTGCTGGTATGTTTGAGCTCATGTTGTGGCTATTGTGTAGATCCATCTCATTGAGGGTTTCCCTCATTTTCACTGACTCTCTATTTTACCAAACATTAGGTCCCTTTTTAGTGATTGGTCTTTGCTGAGAGTCAGTCCAAAGTAAGTCTCACAATCCTTTCTTCTAAGGAGCATTCTGGTTGTACTTCTTCTAAGAATGATTTGTTCATTCTTCTGGCACTTCATGGTATAGTCAATATTCTTCTCCAACACCACAACTCATATGCATCAATTCTTCTTTCTTTCATTGTTCAGACTTCTGCATGCCTATGAGGTGACTGACAAGACCATGGCTTGGGCTAGGCGCACTTTATTCATCAAAGTGACATCTTTGCTTTTTAGCATTTTAAAAAGATCTTTTGCAGCAGATTTTCCCAATGTGATACGTTGCTTGCTTTCTTGACTGCTGGTTCCATAGACATTGACTGTTGATCCAAGCAGAATGAAATTGTTGATAACTTTAGGACATCCCCCCCC